GAACTACATGTTTTGCTGTTTCAAGTACTGACAAATTAGTTTTAAAGAACTACATCTTTTTCTGTTTCAAATACTGACAAATCAGTTCTTAAGAACTATATGTTTTTCTGTTTCAAGTACTGACAACTCAGTTCTTAAAAACATGTTTTTTTCTGTTTCAAGTAATTACAAATCAGTTTTTAAGAACTACATGTATTTAGCTGTTTCAAGTACTGAAAAATTAGTTCATAAGAACTACGTGTATTTAGCTCTTTCAAGTACTGACAAATTAGTTCTAAAGAACTACATCTAGTTACCTGTTTCAAATACTGACAAATTAGTTCTTAAGAACTGTTTAGCTATTTCAAGTACTGACAAATTGCTTCTTAAGAACTGCATGTATTTAGCTGTATCAACTAATAACAAATTAGTTCTTAAGAAGTGTATTTAGCTGTATCAACTAATAATTAATTCTTAAGAACTACGTGTATTTAGCTGTTTCAAGTACTGACAAATTAGTTCTTAAGAACTATTTAGCTGTTTCAAGTACTGACATATTATTTCTTAAGAGCTACATTTATCTACCTGTTTCAAATACTGACAAATTAATTCTTAAGAACTACGTGTATTTAGCTGTTTCAAGTACTGACAAATTAGTTCTTAAGAACTATTTAGCTGTTTCAAGTACTGACATATTATTTCTTAAGAGCTACATTTATCTACCTGTTTCAAGTACTGACAAATTAGTTCTTAAGAACTACATTTATTTAGCTGTTTCAAGTAATGAGAAATTAGTTCTTAAGAACAACATGTATTTAGGTGTTTCAAATACTGTAAAATTAGTTCTTAAGAACTATTTAGCTGTTTTATGTACTGACAAATTAGTTCTTAAGAACTATTTAGCTGTTTTATGTACTGACAAATTAGTTCTTAAGAACTACATGTATTTAGCTGTTTCAAATACTGAGAAATTAATTCTTAAGAACTATTTTCCAGTGAGACATTTTCTTATTTTATGTGGCAATGGAGACTCTGTTGTCACTTTAATGAAGTGTAGGTCAGTCGATACTACTCTAAGTTTAATCTTCGGTGGAAATATGTTATTTATTTACGTTTCTCGTAGTTTAGAATAAAGAGGTTTTCAGTTACATCCTTGAAATATGGACGCATGGAATCGATTTCAAAAAAATTGAGTCGTTAGTCCGTGTGAGGTCCTCTAGGAGTGACTAATTTAACAACACACACAGAGAACCTTATACTTTGGAAGAAATACTGATTTAAAACCATGCCATAACATTCGTGTCACTGGACTATCTAAAGGTGCTAGCAAACAAATATACAATGTTTTGTGTAGTTCAGAATTATCATCTTTTTTCATATATAAAGCAGAACTTCTAAATTTCAGGCCTATTTAGACTGTTTTAGGCATTTTATTCTAGTCTAGGGTGATGTGTTAAACCTGAATGAAAGGATTAAACAATACAACTCATGGTTCCCTTACTCTAGAGAAACTTTTAGCTCTCTCTCAATAAGGTAATACAAATTCCACCCTTTTATTATGTAGTACAGGACACTATAACCATTTGTTCAAGCTTTTCTATTCATTTGGTCCACTAGGAAGAAAGAATGGTCTGTTACTTTTGTGCTTTATCTGAAGAACTTATATTTGTAGATAAATGAAAACATATTTTCTTAATTTAGAAGAATACAAGATAAATGTTAGGTTCACATTATGATTCTTCTTTAAATATCACTTAACAGAAATAAAATTCACTTGTTGATCTGTGGTGTGACGTTTCTGAATGTATGTGTGTATATATATTTAAGTTTTAAAAGCATTATTTGTCTTTTGTTAGCCCCACTACACTTCTACTGTTTATGACCAATGAATGTATAATATTTCTTATAGAGAAATCTATGGTAAAAATGTGATACAGTTTTGCTGGTAAACACTGTCATATGTTGACAGAAAGTTATACAGCTCAAACATGCCATAGGAATAGACATAATATTTACTTTTTATAGTTATTAATAACAATACCTTCTCTATCTTATAAGATAAGTCTTGCTTATTTCGTGTATTTTCTGAAGCAAAACAATTTATATATGTGTTAGTGGTTTATCATATTATTATTATTCAATAAAATAATGTACATTGCCACCAGATGTCGCTAAATCAGAGTTAAACTACAGTGTTATTAATGGTGGTTATTTTTTAGTGCATATCTACATAATGGGTAATAGGTACTCTTTCCACCGCAGGGAATCGAACCCCAGGTTTTAGCGTTGTAAATCCGTAAAATCACCGCTGACCAGTTATTACTGAAATTTTCTATTGTCACTAACATTTTTTGTTTTTATTTGAAAAGAAAATGTTCCGATTTCTTGTGTTTTTTCGGTTTTCACATAGTGTTTATTGTTTGTTACGTAATGTTGCTAAGCTGCTGGAAGGAAATATTGTGTAGTAAATCTACTTGGATCAGCAGTAAATATAACTGAAATAATAGTTTGGTAAACGGTTATCAATGAATTTCCAAATCATGTTTTAATAAAAATATTGTTTGTTTTACTTTTAATTACTTATCAGGTCATTCTTATTGATCTTAAGGTCGATATTTCTAACGAGGGAACTCACAAACTGCTTTCAACAGCGGGTCGGCGTTTAGATCTGACTAGAAGAACAATATGAAGAAATGATAATCAAGTTTTATATTACTCAAAGTTAAAAGATGGCCAGGTGGTTAGGGCGCTCGAATCTCCGTCCCACCATACATGCTCGCCCTTTCAGCCGTGGGGGCGTTATAATGTGACGGTCAATTCCACTATTCGTTAGTAAAAGAGTAGCCCAAGAGTTGGCAGTGGGAGGTGATGACTAGCTGCCTTCCCTCTAGTCTTACACTGCTAAATTAGGGACGGCTAGCGCAGATAGCCCTCGTGTAGCTTTGCGCGAAATTAAAAAACAAACTCAATATGATATCTTATCACCATGAAGAATAAGAGAAGCATGGCACAGCTGATGCGTACTTAAAATCAGAATGTTGATAAGATCCCCAACTATTCTCGACTACTCCTTTGAAAATATTTTTTCAGGGAATCTTTAGTGTCTCGGGTCACTTTATGGAGTGTGGCTCGTCTTTCAAGAGCACCCCTTATACACTCGATAGGACTGAAGTCTGTGTCACTTGATGGAATGTGACGCATCTTCCAAGAACATCCCTTATATACTCGATAGGATTGAAGTCTGGGTCACTTTATGGAATGTGACGCATCACCCAAGAGCATCCCTTACATGTTCGATAGAACTGAAGTCTGAGTCACTTGATGAAATGTGGCGCATCTCCAAAGAGCATCCTTTACATGCTCGATAGGACTGAAGTCTGGGTCACTTGTTTGAATGTGGCGCATCTCCAAAGAGCATCCTTTACATGCTCGATAGGACTGAAGTCTGGGTCACTTGTTTGAATGTGGCTCGTCTCCCAAAAGCATCCTTTATATACCTGATAGGACTGAAGTCTGAGTCACTTGATGGAATGTGGCGCGTCTCCCAAGAGCTTACCTTGTATTCTCGACACGACTGAAAACAAACGTGTCTTCAAGAAACGTGTTGGTCAATTTATGATGTTCAGAGCCAAGAGTTCTCATAATTGGGCTTACGCCAGGGCCAATTGCACCAGCATAAAGCAGAACATAGATTCGTATGATAAGGTCTGTACAACAGGTGGCATTAATGGTACCATACTGCAAGATGTAGAAGTCTTTATGCCCTATACTAGCGCCACATACATTCTGTTCCTGTATAAAAAGGGCATTAAATGTTTCTAGATTCTCGCCAAATGAACACTCATTTGGAAAGACAAGTATGGTAAATATGACCTTTTTCTTACAGATTTCCACTAACAAGGAATTCAGTATAACAATTATAACCATGGATCACGTATTGACATTAAAAACCTCTGTTAAAACAACAAACCTTCATTTCCGATGGACTGCATGGCTTGGTGGTTAAGAAGCTCGACTCGTAATAAGAGGGTCGTGGGTTCGAATCCCATCAGCCGTGGGAGTATTA